CTTATTAAGCCAAGCAATTAGTTTTTTTTTTTTTTTGGTCAAATGTCTTAAAAAATAATTTCCGCCAACTCCCTAGCTTCCAGTGTGCATTGGTGCCAAGAAAGTCCAGAATGTTTACTCTGCTGAGAAAATTAATTGTGACTTTCAGGCATAAACCTTCTCTCACTTCCCTCCCAACTCCTCTGGACTTTTGGATAATCCACACTCATCCTTTCTTTCCTCACTGATATTTCAGAAATGCTCATTTCTTTCTTGCTTCCTCAATTGCCCACTCCATAAAGTTTTATTTTCTCTTCTCTGCCTGGAAGCATTCTAAATATCTGTTGCCTGAAAAATCTCTGCCTACTCTTCCTTTTCTTCCTTTCATTCACTATCTAATCCCTGAAATAGTCAACTTGACTCTCGGTCCTCTTTTGCCACTTCTCTTTTGCTCCTTTATATGCTAAATACTAATTTCTGCTACTCCTTCTACAAAACTCACTAGTCTTCAAAAATTGTTTTTGCAAGGTTAATCAAGTATCTGTTATCAATACATCTGATAGTCTCTTTTCCTTTCAAGTAACTTCACTTGTATTTTCTACAGTTTAATGCTTTTATTGACCAATCATGCCACCTTTGTTAAAGGTATTTTGTGCCTTAGCTTGTAGAGACTTTCTCCTGATTCTTTGAAATCCATGGAGTTTATAATTCTCCTCAGATCCCTATAGCCCGTTCTTTAATTTGTTCCATTCCCTAAGCTTTATTTCAGACAGTGCGACCCTTGGTTGCTTCTCTTCTCCTCTCCTCTCCCTTCCCACTGGTTTGTCTTAAAGTGTTTCCAGATCTTTAGTTATTATCTAGAGTCATTTTCCCAAAGTACAAATCTGCACCAAAGGTACCTAGGGGTTGACAAGTTTGGGGACTTTGGGAAACAGAGTTTCCATAGACATAATCTGCCATGGTGGCAAATCGCTTCAGTCGTGTCCGACTCTGGGCGACCCCATAGACGGCAGCCCACCAGGCTCCCCTGTCCCTGGGATTCTCCGGGCAAGAACACTGGGGTGGGTTGTCATTTCCTTCTCCAATGCATGAAAGTGAAAAGTGAAAGTGAAGTTGCTCAGTCGTGTCTGACTCTTAGCGACCCCACGGACTGCAGCCTATCAGGCTCCTCCGTCCATGGGATTTCCCCCGTAAGAGTACTGGAGTGGATTGCCTTCTCCGGAGTTGTCCTATAAGGAGTGGCAAAATTTCTAGACATACCCAATGAGAGGTGGGTAGGGATAGCAGAGAATTTTTAGGTGGCTGTATGTGTTATGGAGAATGGGGCAAGAAATGTAGAATACTATGTACAATATGATTTCATACGGACCTACAGTTTGGTAAAGCTCGTGTACAATTCGGTCACATTGAGATTTTTACAGACACATTAAATCAAATGCTCCCGAGGACTTCGGGGTCAGGGCAGCTCAGAAGCATCCCAGCTGCAAGCCTAGTGGAGGGCTCAGTTTATAAACTCCTCTGAGGAGGGCTGCTGACTTTCCTGCTGGAACTGCTACTTTGAGGAAGGTTTGTGACAATGTCAGATCTTGGGTTTTGCTTAATCAATCGGTCGTGTCCAATTCTTTGAGAATTTTTGGGCTGTAGCCCGCCAAGTTCCTCTGTCCGTGGGACTTTTCAGGCAAGAATATTGGAGTGGGTTGCCACTTCCTTCTCCAGGGGATCTTCCCAACCCAGGGATCAGACTCACATCTTTCATGTTTCCTGCACTGAAGGCAGATTCTTTACCCACGCAGCCATTGGGGAAGCCCTGATCTTGGATTGCGGGGCTTTATTTCTCGAGGCTGCTTAGGGGATGTTCCTGGTGGTCCAGTGGGTAAGGATTCAGGGGGCCCAGTTCAATCCCTAGTCAGGGAACTAGACCCCACATGCAGCAGTTAAGACTTGGTGCAGCCAAATAAATAAATGGTAAAAAAATGAAAGGACTGCTTGGGTCTTATCTACCATTTCAAAGAAGAAAATGTGGAGTGGACTCAGGCTTTCACAGGGAGTCCATTGGAAATGAATCTGTGCTTGGGTGGTGAATCCATCTGTGATGGCCCTAGACAAATGTTGTTTCTGGTCTGATCTTCTTGTCAGCTATTTGTTTTTGTTAGGGTAGTGATTGCTCCTTTGATTCCTAGTTTGTTTGTTTTTTTTTAATTAGAGTTCGCTCACTGACACTGTGCTTCTAACATTAACCCCATTCAGACTTGCCTCTTCTATAGTAGTCACCTAAGTAGCTGCACTTTATTTGGCTTGTGCTTCAATAAACAAAGATATTCAGCTGAAAAAAAAAGTTATTTCAACACTAGAACCAGAATTTTTCAGTCATCCTAATTAACACCTAGAATGTAACACTCCTTATGATCTTGTAACTATGTTTGAAATTTCTCTAGTTCCTATCGTTCTCAAACTTAAAGGTATATTACAATGTGTGTGGAAAAACATATATTCTTGGGCTCAAACACGAAAGTTTCCAATTCAGTGGACCTGCAACGGGAAGTGAAAATCTGCATCTCTAATAAGTTTCTGAGTGAAGCTGATGCTGCTGTTTTTGACCTTACACTGAGGATAACTGCTCTAGTTTATGAAGTCCCTTAGAAAATATCAGAAACCACTGTTATCTTGGGTAATAAAGGTTATACACAGAAACCTTTTAAACATCTTTTTCCTTCCTTTTTACTTTTTCATCTCTTTCCTTTTCTTGATGATTTTTTTTCTTTTCCTTTCCCTCTCTCCCTCCTTTTCTTCTACTTAATCCCCACAGAACATTTTCCTACTGGGCACCCAGGTACAGAGGAATGTTATCCATTCATTCCTAGCCTTTGGACCCATCAACAGAATATTCCTAGAATTCAGATAAATGATGATTCCAAGTGAAACTTTTGAGGTTTTATATCCAAAATCAATTAATTTGATTTTTAAAGTCAAAGTCACTACATTGTCTTTAGGAGAGTTTTTGCTTTTTGACAGCAAATTTACCCTGCACTTTGGAAAAACTTAAAGGCTGGGAATCTGAACACACTAAAATTCAAAACAGAATCCTTCAAGTTAAAACACGTGTCATGTCAATGAACCATTTCTTGAAACGTTACCCTTTGGCCTCTCTCTATTCAGTGTAGTAAAGCCTTGATTAATCATATGAAACCAACCAAACTGAGCCATTAATTGCCTGATTTTTTTCAGAAAGTCATTCTGAGCAAACAAATTTCAGAGATTTATTTTAATAATAATAATATGTATCTTTGGATTTGTTCACACTAAACTCAAGCTCTTATAACTTCTTCACATATAATTTTGGCAACAGAATTCAGAGTTACTAATACTCAGAAACTAAAGTTTCAAGCTTAAAAGATAAAAGTTACCCAGAGCTGACTGCTTGAGGCAGGAAAGTAGGTGATTCATTATTAAAACAAATAAACAAAAATAAGTGAGCCGTGCTGGTATAGGGGCTATAGGGTACTATGAATAGCATCCTTGGGACTGGATTAATATACCTTCCTGGGGTCAAGTCTTCCTGTTATGACCAAAAAGTGTGACCTTGGATATATTGCCAAATCATCTTTCTGGCTTTGGGTTTAACATCATTTATGACAGTATTGGCAACCTACTCCAGTATTCCTGCCTGGAGAATCCCATGAACAGAGGAGCCTGGCAGGCTACAGTCCATGGGGTCGGAAGAGTCAGACACAACTTAGCAACTAAACCATCACCATCACCATGACAGTATTATGAATATCAAAAATTATTGATATTCTTTTATCTCAAAAGTATACCAAAGTATTTAAAAATTATTGATATACTTTTTAAAGTATATCTGTGGATATACTGTGGACATTATGGTAGGGCATTTCTGAAATGGATCCCCATGATCTCATCTACTAGCATTTTTGCCCTTGTCTGATCATCTTTTTTGGTGTGTTAGCTTGATGTAATGACTTTCTTCTAATAAATAGAATATAACAAAAGTGATAGGATTTCACATTCAAATTAGGTTGTAAAAGATTGTGGCCTCTCTCTCTCTTCTCTGCTTTTCTTGTTTACTTGCTCTGATGAAGCAAATTGCCATGCTGTGAGTTACCCTATGAAGAACCTCATGTCACAAGGACTGGAGTGCTTCCTCCAGCCACCAGTCAGCAAGGTCAAACAACCCATGAGATATTGAATCCTGCCAACAACCACATGAGGGAGCTTGAAGGTTGACCTTTCCTTAGCTGAGTCTTGATACATCTACAGCCACAGTCACCAACTTGGTAGTTTGGGGAGATACTTGAGGCAGAGAATCCGCACAATTTACCCCTATATTCCTGATTTGCAAAAATAGGGAGATAATAAATGTGTGTTGTTTTAAACAACTATGCTTTACAGTAATTTATCAGGCAGTTATAGATAATTGGTACAAAAATGAAAAGTGTTGTAATTTGAAAATTTGAAGGTTTTGGGGGAAAATGATAGCCACTTAGTTGGATTGTTCTAAGTCTAAATGTAATGTCAATAATTACACAACAGAAGTGGTTAACATACTGGCGACCAATAGTAAATGTTTAATGATATTCACACTTAGCATAAACTCTCTGTCCGAAGCCTTTCCTACTGCAGTGGTGATTTTATTATATATCCATGTGGACTGTAGTTTGTATTTGACACAGATTAGAAAAGCTTTTGCTTTAGGATGGAGTGGAGTTTTGGTTGGGGATAAAATTGCTGAATGAAATAGCACCTCTTGTGCTTTTAAGCTTCCCTTTGTGGGAAGCTCAACGTGGGAGTACACCCTGGCTATACTTGCTAAAATGAAAAATCCTCAACATCAATATTTAATATTTAACAGGGAAAGACAAAATCACAACAAGACGCATACCCACCAGAAAGGTTAAAACTCACCCTGATGCATCATGGAACTCTCATGTACAGAGAAAGAAAAAACAGTAAAACCGTTTGGAAAACTGTTTTAGAAGTTTTCTAAAAGAAGCAGTTAACTTAAGCAGTTAAACCCACAGTTACCCTATGAGGTAGCTTATCAACTTCTAAGTGTTTATATAAGAGAAATACAACCATATGTCCAGTAAGTTTGGTACAAGACTATTCCTAGCAGCTTTATTCATAACATTTAATCAGTTCATTATCAGGAAAATTGGTAAACAAAGTATAGTATTAACATGATGGAAAACTACTTAGCAATAAAAAAAGGAACTTTTTAGATACCTAATAGTATGAATCTCTAAACATTAGACTGAGTGAAAGAAGCAAGATGCAAAAAGAGTTATTACTTACTTACATACTTACTTTATGATTACATTTAGATGATATCCTAGAAGAGGTAAAACTAATCCATGGTGATAGAAACCAGGGTAGTGGCAGTTTTTGTGTGTAGGTGGGAGGAATAGTGGGATCGATTGGAAGAGGCGTGAAGAAACCTTCTGGGATGATGGAAACTTTTCGTATCTTGATAGAGGTTTAGGATGTATGGATGCCTGCATTTGCCAAAACTGATAGAACTGTACATTAGGGACTTGTTTACTTCACTTTATGTAAACTATTAATATATCTAAATGTTAGAGATACTGGCTTTGAGTAAGTGCAGGCTTGTGTTGGATTTTGAGAAGAAAGAGAAGTGTATGTGTGACTTATCTTGCAATCATGAGAGAAACATTATGGTGATTAAGTAACCATGCCCACTTGGGGAAAAATATGAAAAAAGATAGAAGGCACTAAATAAAACATTTCCTTACTTTAAAAACTTCCTAAAAATCCCTTAAAAGCATACAGTGTTTTTATTAGGGACACATAAAGATAACAATATCAGTTTTTGCTTTGATCTAGATTCTTACTTGGCAAGTATCTGAGTGTCAGGTGGAGTAAACATGACCAGGTTGCTCTGCATTATGAGAACTGACTGTTTTGCAATCATCTGGAAAATTTAAACAATCCACATATTAACCACTGTAGTCCAACCCAACATGTCAATGTTATCTTGCTATCTTGTAACCAAAGGAAAAAAATCACTTTTTTTACTTTTTTTTTTTTTACCTTTAACATTAATTAGGTCATAATTATGTACAGGTACAAAAAAAAAAGAATCTTGCTCAATATGCTTGTTTCAGTGGCCTTTATAAACATAACACTGTTAGTTAAAACACTATGTGTGAAAAAGTTACATTTTGTAGACATTCATTTCTTCTCTTTGTAGTCCTACCATCCAGTGCTGGCTGTGGAATTATTGCTGTGCTTGCATTGATGCTAGTGGTTTACCATTAATGAAAGCATTCAGATGTCTGTGGGTGGACTCAAGAAAGAAGATGGCAACAGATAGCATGTGGTTAGTAAAACAAAGCCAAATATTGTGCAGTAGAAACCTAAGCTCAACCAAAATAGATCTTTTCATGGAGAAAGTGGGGTTTTGAGCCTCAGCTGTTATGTTTAGTCTGATTCTGTGAGATATCAAGAAACAATGTTTGGATATATTCAACTGTGGTGGGCCTTTGTGGCATTTTTTTCCTTGCTAAAGGAATAATTTGGGGGTACTTTCTGACTGTTATTACAAGCTCAATTAACTCTGGGTTCTGGTAGTAGAATCAGAATACTGGTAGGACAGGAATTTTAACCGGAAAACAGTCAATGAAGACAAATATTAGAGTTCAGTAAGCAAGTTTATACACTGATTGATATTTTTGTTAGCCACAAGACTGTGGTTAATACTATTCAGTATTGATTATTGTCCATTCATAGCATTATGGCAGTTGGACCAGTTCTGTACTGGGAAGTTGAAGAAAACAGAGTTAATTCTGAATACAGGCATACCTTGTTTTCTTGTGCTGTTTTATTCATCTAGCTGTTTCTTCATCACAGGGATAGAGAACTACAGTGTTGATAATCCCAGTGTTCCTGCAGTTTAAATAGCTCTGATGAACTTCAGTCCACAGGAAATGTCCATTTTCTCACGTCTGTTACCATCAGCAGTGACAGGAAATGCAGGACTCTTTTCTTATATTCTTGAATTTTTGGCAAAGCATTGTGAGGGGAAAAATTTTTTTAGTTCACTGTTTATTTGGATATACTTATCTCAGAAAATAACCCAACATTTCACAAGTCTAGATTTTTTCTGAGGGGTTTAAAATGAGTTTATAGCTGTCCTTTATGGAGAGTCCAGGTAGTAAACATTCAAGGATTGGAAGCATTTAATGGGAGATATCCCTGGCACTGGCAAACTATTTACAGCTATTTTCATTCCACCATTTCATCTGGTATATCTCTTTTGAGCAGCTCACTTAAAACTGTCAGAGTTTTGTGAAACTCACCAGGGACAGCCTTTAAAGACCTCTTAATTATATAAATTGTAGATCACTATAGCTTGCCAGATAACATAGTGATTATTTTTTAAAAATCCTCAGGCAGGAGCACCCAAAATATAAAATCTTTTTCTCTCCACTGCAAGAACTAGAATTCTTGCCTGAGGTTCATTTTTAATAAAGGTCCCTTATTACCAATTGCCAGCTGAATGAATTAAGCTTTTTTTTAATCAAACCAACAAATCAATCCCTTTCCAAAATGAAGGTCTCATTTTTTTTTTCTCTGATTACTTTTCACTTTGTAACCCATCTTGAAGTTCATCTCATTATCCTCATCATTATCAAAAACATGTATTGCCGATGGGCAGTATAGTTACAAGCAAAGGAAAATACAGAACAGATTACTCAGAATGTAAAAGAACATTTGGTTGACTAAGATGCTCATTGATTTTCTCTGAACTCTCCCCCCTCCTTTTGGTTTTATATATACTGATTTTGTTGATTAGGTCATTTCCCCAAAGGAGAACAATTGGTGCCAGAGACTCTTAAAGATGTGGTAGCACAATTAAGAGTGAGAGGTTTCTTCAAATCTTCAATCAAAGAAGCTGAAGACACAGTGAGAGGGGAGGAAAAGAGGAAGGACACATGCTGATTAATCTAGTGTTTCAAAGAAAGCTTCAAAGAGTTAGGACAACAAATCCCTTAAGCACGTTGATCAGATATTGGTGGACCTATTACTGAGAAAGAATTTAAAATGTTCATAACTTTGTGGCCATCATTGTCTCGATTCTTTTCTCTCTCCAGGAGTAAATGAACTGATTCTAAACACAAAGATTAATTCCTCTAAATAATTCCACTTACTCCTTGGAAATGCTGCCCTGCTTCCTCTAAAGTAGAGTTTCTCAGTCTTGGCCCTTCTTACATTTTAAACCAAATAATTCTTTGTTGTGGGGCCTGTATTCTGCATTGTAGAATGCTTACCAGCATTCCTAGTCTCTACCCAGTAGATGTTTATATAACAGCTCCTCAGCTACAACAACCAAAAATGTCTCTGCTTCTGCTTCCAAGTCACTTCAGGCATGACCGACTCTCTGCGACCCCATAGATGACAGCCTACCGGGCTCCCCCGTCCCTGGGATTCTCCAGGCAAGAACACTGGAGGGGGTTGCCATTTCCTCCTTCAATGCATTGAAGTGAAAAGGGAAAGTGAAGTCGTTTAGTAGTATCCAACTCCTAGCGACCCCATGGACTGCAGCCTACCAGGCTCCTCCATCCATGGGATTCTCCAGGGAAGAGTACTGGAGTGGGGTGCCACTGCCTTCTCCAAAAATGTCTCTAGATACTGCCAAATATCTCTTAGAACACAGATTCACCCCCAGCAGACATATAAAATAAGAAAACACAAATTACAGGTTATATAAGCCAGTCTATAAGTGTGATTGTGTTCTAAATGGAGAACATAATTAATAATAATTTATTGTCTTACAGAACCCTAGTCACTGGACAAACAGGTATGGTTCAGGAATATTTGGTTAAAAGCACAAAATTGAATCTTATGGCAGACATAAGCAAAATGAAAACTTTTAGAAAATTCAGTCCTATGAAATGAATCATAGGATTGAAGATAAAGCTAAAGAACCAGATGTCAGAAAGGACAAGAACCAATGAAGCTCCAGTCCTCTGAGAAGTTTCTGTCTGCTTGGTGAAAGGAAATAGTGAATATCTCAGGGCTCACGCATTAGGAAGTCATCTTGAACATCATTTTCAGTCTTAAAGAAAGCCTGACATTCTAACCTGAGTCACATGACCACCCATTGACCAGAAGCAGACAGCCCCTTGAGTATCATACACAAAAATCTTACCTAATGGGGCAAAATTACCTAAGCAGACAGCCCCTTGAGTATCATACACAAAGATCTTACCTAATGGGGCATCAGAAAGTCCTCTTTTGGAGGCAGGGGAAGGCCTAAGTTTGTTGGCTACCATTTATGCATAATTCTGTTGTGCCCATACACAAAGGGAGAATTTCATAACCTAGAAAGATACTAATTAGTTTTTCTTTTTCTTCAGGATGAGAGAGCCCCTCCAAGTTCCAAGGAGGGGCATATGTGTTGACTCATTAGTGGATATGATTGGTCCTCTATCTGTCCATTTTATAACCTACAATAAAAAAGGGGGGCCAGGTATATAAGCCCAGTAAATGTGATCAATCAAGTCAGCCTGAGTGGGGGAAGCAAAAGCAAGCAAAGCAAGCATAGCGAAGAAAAATATTTTCAGGATTCCGAGGCATTCCCTGTTGAGAAATCAGCTTTTCAGTTTGATTAGTAAGGGTTTTTATCTGTCCCCAAGTAGGGAGATCATAAGTTCGATGACGTCGAGTGCGGCGTTTTTTGGAAATTTTCAATGTTGCCATGGCTTGTATTGGAATTCTTTCTTCCTGGGTTTTTTGCTGTTTCATCTTTAGTCTGAATGCTATCACGTTAGAAATGAATGTATTCCCAGAAGAACAATGACCCTGTTGCTATTCCCTTCAACAGGGTTGGAGAGTAAATATTATCATTCTTTACAGATGAGGACATTTCAATTCAGTGTGTAAGTAACTTGCACCAGGTCACGAAGTTACTAAATGGTTAAATCAAGATTGAAATTCAGATGTGCCTGACTTTGAAGTCTCTAATCCTTACTGCACATTCCACTGTTCTTATATTTATGGAAATTCTTAGTCACTTGTCTATTTGATTAACCACAACAACCAATAAACAGGCATCTGTTGAGGGTCAAGGAGATCCAACTTCATGATGTAAAGTGAAAATGTTGATTGCTCAGTTTTGCCTGACTCTCAGTTGTGTCCAACTCTTTGTGACCCCATGGACTGGGGTGTCCTGCATTGCTGGCATATTCTTTTCTTTAATTAATTTATTTTGATTGGAGGATAATTGCAATATTGTGGTGGGTTTTTACCATACAACGACATGAATCAACCACAGGTGCACATGTGTCCCCACATCCTGAAACCCCTCTCACATCCCTCCCCACCCCATCCCTCTGGGTTGTCCCAGAGCATAGGCTTTGAGTGCCTTGCTTCATGCATCAACTTGCACTGGTTTTCTATTGTACATATGGTAATATACATGTTTCAATGCTATTCTTTCATATCATCCCACCCTTGCCTTCTCCCACAGAGTCCAAAAATCTGTTCTTTACATCTGTGTCTCTTTTGCTGCCTTGTATATAGGATCATTGTTCCCATCTTTCTAAATTCCATATATATACATTAATAGACACTAATACTAGTGTTTCTTTCTAACTTACTTCACTGTATAATAAGCTTCAGTTTCATCCACCTCATTAGAACTGACTCAAATGTGTTCCTTTTTATAGCTGAGTAATATTACATAGTGTATATGTAACACAACATCCTTATCCATTCATCTACTNGTTGACCAGTTTTCCCACCACCACTTGTTAAAGAGATTGTCTTTTCTCCATTGTATAGTTTTGCCTCCTTTGTCAAGGGTAAGGTGTCCATAGGTGTATGAATTTATATCTGGGCTTTCTATTTTGTTCCATTGATCTGTATTTCTGTCTTTGTGTAGGCAGATTCTTTACCATCTGAGCCACCAGGGAAGCCCTTCAAAGTGAATGAGCTATAAACAAATTATTAATACTAGATAGTTCTAGCTCAGGAGAATCTGCATCCAAGTTGGGGAAACAAAGTTAACCATGAAGAATTGAGAGAATAAGATTGAATGCCAAATTATGAGATAGGTAAAAATCAAGGAACATATATATTAAGCTTCTAATTACATCAGAAAAAAGAACTGGAGGAAAAACAAAGCTGACATAAACTAGTTTTATTAGGCAAGATTATAAAGAAAGTAGGGGGTGCCTAGTGGCTCAGTGGTAAAGAACCCACCTGCCAGTGCAGGAGATGTGGATTTGACCCCTGGGTCAGGAAGATCCCTTTGAGAAGGAAATGGCAACACTGGTTGCCACTCTAATATTGGCAGCTCTGGTATTATTGCCTGGG